ACACTCAGTCAGCAGATTCACTTTTGTGTGAGTGCTGCCTAGGTGTACTGGCCTACATTTAACTGTTAACTTTGCCAACACTGCAATGACAATAATGAATACATTTCCCTTAAATTATATAATGTTGTCTTTCTATTGCCTCAAGGAACTATACATAGCACATCTAAAGACAGATTTCAGAGGTCAATAAAAATCAATAGGGAAGGAAAGTGGAGATATATTCTCTCCCCTACTTCCTTTTATGCTCTTTCTCTTTTCTACCTTCATCCAATAGAAGATAGGAAGGAAACAGAGGAAAAATCAGTGAGCTGTATTGGATCTGCCTAGGACTTTTAAACTAATATTTGTATTTCAACGCAGCCACAGATAACCCAACAACACTCAGGCTAAAGACATCATATAGGATTTTCAGTGGCCCACTTTTGCTACCAGAATGTCAAGCTAAATTACAAAGTTTGTCTTTGGATCCTCTCACCTCCTATTCTAAGTAATCTCCAATTTTCTATCTTCTTACTACTCCCTCTATCCATACTCAATGTGCCCCCAGTACTCCAAGTTGACTTTTGGCTAGTCAACATTGACTACCTCACTCATGTCTTCTTCTGCCTCAATAAAAACTCTGAATTCTTGGAAGTCCCTATTCTTTTCCTAGAGATGTATATGTGATATGAATTAATTCTCACTAAGATGTGAACAATGAGTAGGCATAACTCTTATCAGAGGGGAAAGAAGTTGTTAAAATGAATCACTAACTAGAGAGAAGAGATTTTTTTTTTTTTTGGCTGCATGTTTGGGGGAAGAGAATTTTTAGCTGAATACTTTCTGCTAAATGCTTTAGCATCAGGGAATAAATAACAAACTAGGTAGAATTAACATTATTATCATATACATATCCCAGAACAACAATCATCTAGCCAGATCTGCCAAGGCCTTTGCTTAGTAGAACTACATATTACGAAAGACTCCCACACTGTCACTTTGCCACTAACCTAGGCTGATGAGCTGAATTACCATAATGTGTATCTTGCTTTTTATTTCAAATGCAGACAAATCTGCCTATTACAGTCCTTTCACATGATCGCTATCTTTATCTAATCCATCCAGCCTCTTCAGCCCCAGAAATAAAAGAAAAACCATATAAATAAAGTCAACTACACTCAAAATCCTCAGAGAAGGAATAAAGCAAGCAAGCAAGCAAGGGATGTTCTCTTTAGAACAGCATGTCCCCTTGGTCTGGGAGATAGTGCCATTCTGCCTAAGGGTTTGTGGAATTTCTCCCCACGGTGTGGTTTCATTAAGTTCTAAGTTTTATTAACTTCCAGGATGAGAGGGCAAACTACCCACAGCCAAATAAATGCAGGCACTTAAAAATAACTCACATGTGGTTTCTACCCTCCTCTCCCTCTTCCCACAAAAGAGCTGCCACTATAGCTCACTGAAAGGAAAAGGAAAAGAAAAAGAAACTCCTGAGTAATTTTACACAATCTTGAGTTCACACAAAGGAAAGGAAAATACCAACAGACTGGTACTGATTCCTAGGACAGCCCCTTGGGTTTACCCTTCAAATCCAACGACCTTTCTTTCACCAGGATGGAATGATTTTTGCTGATTTTTGTTGTATTGCCAAAAATGCTCCCAAAGACCCACATCAAAAAGCACATCTTTTAAAATTGTTACTCATCAGGTTGAATCATCTTACTTTTCTCCTACTACCTATCTGAGACAGTTATGCTGAGAGAATAAGAGTTCTGATACGGAAAGAAGGGAAGGCAAGCAATCTAGAAGCATGGGTCATTTTGAGAGCTATAAAGTCTAGTCCAAGAAGGAAGGAAAATATGACTGAAACGAACATTTACTGAAAATTTACTCTGTGCCAGGTACCCTTAGGTACTTATGCCTTAACACTTTACCTTATGTATTTTTCACAATTCTGCAATACAAGTATTATCATCCATATTTTATAGAAGAAACTCATAGAGAAATTAAATCGTTCTCCAAAAGGTCATACAGTCATTCAATTAATTTTCCTTGTTTTCAGCCCCAATTCTCACTCCTGATGCTCTTTGTTCTGAGCTTTCTTTAGCGATCTGTTGGGCTGACCCAGTTCCTAGCTTGGTGTACTCTAGGCTGCGGCTTCTTGGCTTGTTTTCTCCTTCAACTCACTCCCATCTACTTTCTAACTTTCAGAAATTTCTGGAAATTTGTTTATTGGTGACCCAGCATTGACTTCTCTATGTTGTTTTGATGCTTTTTATTTCAATGGATTCTCAGGAGAGACTGGAGTCAAATGCTGATATCTAGTCCACCATCCTGAACTTAGTATTTGTAAGGAAAGGGAAGTATCTGACAGTCTGCAGGAATTTTCAGAGACACAACAGGACCAGTCAGTCCTATTTTCTCTCATCTTTTCATAGTGCTTATAGTCTATGAAGAAACAAAGTGACCATCGAGGTAAATGCTAAGTACTTCTTTGATATTTAATAGAACTTTCATGATTATTGGTTTTTAATTTATTATATGTAGGACTTCCTATGTTGTATTACTGCATATCTCTCTGGGATAGAGTGCCACTGACTTCATTAAATGAAATGTACTCTCTCAAATAGTGCTAGAGGGTAAAAATCCCCATTCCAGGATGCTATGTTTTAGATCTTAAATTGCAGGTGTTTAAATCACAATAAAATTGGAAAATAAAAAAAATTTTTTTAGAGGATGGGGGGAGAGAGAGAGAGAGAGATAAACATTAATTCGCTGCCTCTCATACATGCATGCCCAACCAGAGATCAAACCTGTACTGTAGGTATGTGCCCTGACTGGGAATCGAACCCACAGCCTTTCGGTGTATGAGACCACACTCCAACCAAGCCATCAGGTCAGGGCAATTTTAAAGTTGTTAAAAACCCTCAAGTTAATCAATTAACAAATGAATGTATATGTTGGAAAATAGTGAGGCTTCTTTTAGGAACACATCCAAATGCATTATATAGTGGCTTATAACAGAAACACCTCACTCAGGGCTTCAGTTCTCTTGTATAGCAGTTGAGAACTAAGGGGTGGAGATGCCAGATAGTTTCCCAGCCTGATGGCCTGGATAGCTATTTGGAATATAGCTATTCAGCTAAAATGTCAAGTTATATACCAGAAGACCCAGTGATTACATTTTAGAAGACCTAGATGCTGAGTTAATATTAGGTCAAAAAGTAACACAGAAGGGGAGGAACTGATTGATATATTAGCCAAGAGTGTCAGTGTCTACACAAAATAAAAAACAATAAAGGGAATACCCATACGACTGTCAGCTGATTTCTCAACAGAAACTTTGCAGGCCAGAAGGGAGTGGCAAGAAATATTCAAAGTGAAGAATACAAAGAACCTACAACCAAAATTACTTTATCCAGCAAAGCTATCATTCAGAATTGAAGGTCAGATAAAGAGCTTCACAGATAAGGAAAAGCTAAAGGAGTTCATCACCACCAAACAAGTATTATATGAAATGCTGAAAGGTATCCTTTAAGAAGAGGAAGAAGAAGAAAAAGGTAAAGATACAAATTATGAACAACAAATACGCATCTATCAATAAGTGAATCTAAGAATCAAGTGAATAAATCATCTGATGAACAGAATGAACTGGTGACTATAATAGAATCAGGGCCATAGAAAGGGAGTGGACTGACTATTCTTGGGGGGGAAAGGGGTGTGGGGGATGGGGGAAGAGACTGGACAAAAATCGTGCACCTATGGATGAGGACAGTGGGTGGGGAGTGAGGGCGGAGGGTGGGGTGGGAACTGGGAGGAGGGGAGTTATGGGGGGAAAAAAGAGGAACAAATGTAATAATCTGAACAATAAAGATTTAATTTAAAAAACAATAAAAAACAATATATTAATTCTGGTTCTTTAAGACAGGTTTTGCTGAAGCTACCTAAATGTCACCTTTTGGGTTCTGAGCAAATGACATGTGGTCATATGGCACTTCACATAATAGTAAAGGCAATTATTTTATATGTATTTTTAAAATAAGCAAAAAAATTAAAAATAGTAACACAGCAAGAAGCAGTTGTGTATGATTATATATGATTTTAACCTCAACTAAATATTAGTATCTGTTAAAAATAGAAAAATAAAATGTGTTCATTATTAAAAAGAAAAAAAAATCAATGACACTTGTTACAACATGGTAAAAAACACTTTATTCACGAGGGGAAGCTATTGAGATAGGCATAGGGACCACTGCAATGGTATTTTGCAGTGGGGGAGAGAGTTTGGGCTCAACTCTGAATACTGTAAGGACAAGTGGGAATTTATAGCCAAGAAGCAGGTTGGGAGTCTGTGGGTGGAAAACTACTGAGGAAACATCAGGAGGAAGGGGGATTCTGGTAAAACTGACCAAACAGAATTCTTGTGAAGACAGGCCGGGGTGGTGAGACATCACCTGAAGGATAACTGGCAAGATACTGAGAGTGGGAGGCTTGGGAGAAGGTTCAGGAGACTGACTGAAGTGTGATTAAGCAAAGAATCTTTGTCAGCATTTTCAGAATTGTGTTGATACAATGGCCTCAATGAAGGTCAGCCACACAGTAAATGTTATACGTATTATAATAATACTTAAAATCTTGGCCACAGTAGCCTTGGTTGAAATAACCTGAAGTAAAAGAAAGAAGCTAATGCTCATTAATGAATTAAACTCACATAATTTTGCTTGATTCAATAAACTGAAGGTAAACTTTTTTTCTGATAACATCATTAGGACATAGGGAAACCATTTACAAATTAATGATTACCATATAATTTTATATGTGTAAACTGTTCAGCTGGCTGGGCTGAAGTTCAGTACATGGGAAGATATGTATCTGAATAAATGCTGTTCACCCATTTTCATATGCTTTGTTCATCTATTTCAACAGGCTTATCACCAGAAAGATTTCAGCTAATCAAAGGTTATAGTCCGTTGTTGGTTTACCATAAGATGTTATAATCTAAAAAACACCTCCCAATTACCTACCTAAGCGATGAAATCCAAAGGTGAATCTTTTGGTTGGTGATTTTGAAGACAGCCACAAAGCAAGCAGGGTCAGTATGATAGCACTTAAGTCAGTTAACATATGAAGTGCATCTGTCATGACTGCTAGGCTATTTGCAATGTATCCACCTTAGAGTAAGGATAAGAGGGAAGAAGGAATATGTTAACTAAAATAAATGTAAGTAATAAAGCCAAAAATATGTAAGATCCTACAAAACATGAACTTCTAACTAAATCTTTATCCTATTACAATGAAATCAAGGTAACTGAAATTTGATGCAAAACATTAAATATGCATATATTTTTCTAGTGACAATGTCCATTTCTATGAATAGATTCTCTGAGGAGTCAACAACCTTAAAGAAATTAAGAATCACTAAACTGGAGCTAACACATAAATAGGAATTTTGTGTTTTAGCACTGCAGCTTTTACTCAACTAACTATCCTACTCTTAGTGAAATTAATAACCACAATATCTACATATTACAATAAAGCTGAAGAAGAGGTAGGTACTCACTTGTTTGGGAGAGTTTGAACATAAAATTAAACTGAAGAAACTCATCAAATGTATAATAGTTCAAAACAAAAGATACAAATAACAGATTCATTTGCATACATGACAACAATGTCTTCTAATAGAGGAATAAAAGGTGGTATTTAAAATACACAATTTAAAATTTTATATTGATTTTTCTAGACATTTTATATACACACACATAATTTCACATATATATCTCTGTGTGTAAAAATATGTTGTTCCATTATGGTTATATAATTTTCCTATTACCATTCATTGTGTAAGCTTTTATAATATAATACAGAGTATTCAAACTTTTATGGGTACCAGAATCATTTGGAAGTTTTGTAAAACTGCAGATTGCTTGACCCGACTCTCAGAATCTCTAATTAAGTAGGTCTGGATGGGACCTGAGAATTTACAGTTCCAACATGTTCCCAGGTGATGCTGATGCTTCTGGGCTCAGAACCACACTTTGAGAATCACTGTTACACTGTACTAGTGGTTTGTGCACATTGAAAGGAAACTAAGAAATATTTTAATATCACTATTCACTTTTTCTCTATAATAGAATGTCAACCAAATTCACGATTGACAATGACAGATGGAAACACATGCATGCGATTGGTGCCAGCAAGAGCTTTATATGTATCAACGTTTACATTGCCAGTGTGCATCATATGTACTGGCCGGTCGGTTGGTTGGATGGTTGAATGGACGGTCGGTCGGTCACTTAGCCTTTTATATATATAGATAGTGGAACTTCATGGTCAGGGTGTCTTGACATACTAGTGTGCTGGGTTGCTGATCCCCCTATTTCTAGGATGACTGTGCAGAGCCAAGAGCAGCAGAACTGGAGGCAGTGATTTTGTAGTCACATCCACATACTACAGTGTGTTCTACACAAATATCATTTTTTATGTACAGTAGGTCCTCGGGTTATGTCAGAGATCCGTTCCTACAGCACGATGTAATGTGATTCGCTGTAAGTCAGAACCCATCTACATAAGCACCTACGTCACTCACATGGAGCACATACACAGCAGTAATGAAGTGAAACAGTAAAAAAAATTTAAAAGAAAGATAACAATTCCTGACCTTTACTTGTGGTAAATAAATAATAAAAAACATAAAGCACATATGTACATATGTTGAAATGACAGAACTTTTTTTTTATTTTATAAATACTGTAGGTGGGAGATGGCGACGTAACCACAAAATGATGTACGTCGAGTCTGACGTAACCTGAGGACTGCCTGTATTCCCTGACATGAAAATGCTGGAAATCACTGTGAGAAAATACTCGTTGGTAGTTAGTAACATGGGGCTTTGGAATCTCAGAGATTCTAAGGTAGTTACTTAACATTTTTGAACCTCATTATCTATAAAAGGAGGTTATGTTAAAGCCACATTGTCCAATAGGACTTTCTGAGTGATGGAAATGTCCGTCTATACTGTCCAATACAGTAGTCACTAGTCATATGTGGCTTTTGAACATTTAAAATATGGCTAGTGCAACTGAGGAACTGAGTTAATTTAATTTAATTTTAATTAACCTAAATTTACAGAGCCACATGTAAAAGGCTAAGTGACCCACCGACCATCCGTTCAACCATCCAACCAACCGACCGGCCAGTACATATGATGCACACTGGCAATTTAAACATTGATACATATAAAGCTCTTGCTGGCGCCAATCGCATGCATGTGTTTCCATCTGTCATTGTCAATCGTGAATTTGGTTGACATTCTATTATAGAGAAAAAGCGAATAGTGATATTAAAATATGTTGGTGATCATCAGCAAAAATAGCAGAGTAGGGACCTCTGAAAATCATCTTCATAAAAGCAATAAGAACATGGACAAATCAGCTTATTTAAAACTCTGGAAATTACCTGAAAGCTGTTATAGGTAGCTATTATTCTAGGGAAATAGCTGAATCTTGGTAAGAATAGTGGGCTCCGTGGCATTTCCCCATTTGGTAACCTTGAACACCAATAAGTGGCAATCACAGTGAAAACCTCAGCATGGCAGCCACTGCAAGGGGTAGAATAGGGTTGGAGCTCCTTAAGAGCCCCATTCCCAGAGCACTCTCTTTATGTGACCTTGTCTCACGGTTCCCTGGAAGACCATACTGGCCAGGCTGTTTTTATTTGACTTGACTTGGAGTTCTGCCCTGTGCAAAAACAATCAGAGGCAATAGATAACAATGTGTTCCCCGTGTTCTGAAACTTCAAAATAATGTACCCAATCTGCTGGGCTTTTGTTGACTCTTTCAATCTGGAAATGTATACCTTTCAGTTCTGGGGACTTTTTTTTAACTACCGTAATACCCCCTCATCTGAAGGGGATGTATTCTAAGACCCCTAGCGCAGTGGTCGGCAAACTGCGGCCCCTTGAGTGTGGCTCTTCCACAAAATACCACGTGCGGGCGCACACGTACAGTGCGATTCAAACTTCGTGGCCACACTCAAGGGGCCAAAGAGCCGCATGTGGCTCGCGAGCCGCAGTTTGCCTACCACTGCCCTAGTGGATGCTGGAAACTGGATAGTATTGAACCCTATATATACTATATTCCTATACACAGATACCTATGATAAAGTTTATGGCTTCTCTATGGCGTATTTAAATCGTCAGCACCACAACTCCTGCATTTTGGGACCATTATTAAGTAAGTAAGGGGTATCTGAAGACAAGCACTGTGGGTATCATGACAATCAAAAAGGCTACTAAGTGACTGTCAGGATGGATAGTGTGGATGCACTGGACAAAGGGCTAACTCACCTCTTGGGCAGGATGGAGCAGGACAGTGTGAGATTTCATCATGCTAATCAGAACCATCGCAGAATTGAAAATTTATAAATTGTTTATTTCTGGATTTTTCCATATAATATTTTTGGACTATGGTTGACCATGGGTAACTGAAACTGTGGAAAGTAAAACCACAGATAAGGGGGGGACTACTGTATGTTGCTGATTTCTTTCCTTCTGCTTTCTTTTTTCTTTAAACTCTTATTACTTGGCGTTTGGACTAATATACTAATTTTCTTGCCTTTTTTCTCCTATTATCCATTTCTACTTTTTTGCTCTACTCTTGTCAGAGATTACCTTAGTTCATCTTCCAACTTTTCTGTGGAGTTAAAAATATTTTGTGTTTTTATTGTTTAAAAGCTTAAAAAAAAAAAAAAGACAAACTTCACCTGAAGCTATTTTCTCCATTGATTTTTAGACAGTGTGGAAGGGAAGGAGGATGGGGGGAGGGAGAGAGAGAGAAACATTGACATGAGAGAGACACATCGATGGTTTGCCTCCCACCCGAGGTAGGAGCTGGGAACCCACAACTAAGGCAGGTGCCCTTGACCGGGATTCAAAACCACAACCCTTTGGTCCTACGTTCTAACCACTGAGCGACCGGCCAGGGCTAAAAGCTCTTTTTTTTTTTTTTACTCCTGAATTTATTTTATAAAGCAGCAAGATCAGCATCTCCTGGGAACTTGTTAGAAATGCAAACTCACAGGCCAGATCCCAGAACTACTCAATTAGAAACTGTGGCCCAGAGTTTGTGCTTAAGTTCTCTAGGTGTTTCTGATATATTATTAGGTTGGTTCTTGACTTTCCCTACTGCTTGCTTAGGAGTTGGCTTTCTTGGATCTATTAAGGCAGTTACCTCCTTTATCAGCTTCTTTTCTAGTTTCCCAAGTTTGTGTTGCTGTTGCCTGCTCTCCAGTTTTCCACATCTGTGTGGATATACAGATCCCTTTATTGTAGTTTAAGAGAGGCTTCCGGAGAGAGTACAATTAGATGAGTGAGTTCATTTGCCATCTTTACCATCTTTGCACTCACTTTTTAAACTTGTTCACTTTCAATAAAAATGCAGTTGTTAAAGTAATCAATAACACTGTTATTAAACTCAAGGATACTTTAGTTCTCATCTTATTGGACCTCTTGCAGCTTCAACTTATTTATTGCCACTTTGAAATGCTCTCTTTTCTTGGATTCTGAGATACCTGTTTGCTTTCTGCCTGATTTCTAAAGTTGGAGTTCCTCCAGACTTGGGCTCTCTAGGTGACTTTTTCCATTCCCCATGGCATTACGTACTATATCTCCACCTTGACCTCTTTTCTGAACTGTAGACTCATATGCTCACTAGACATATTTACCTGGCTATTTCACATACATATGATAACATGTTTGAAACAACCATGGCTAGATCCTGCTCTATATATTCTCTCTGCTTCATAAATGACATACATTTCCATACACTTAGCTGCTTAGGTGAAAAACTTCAGAATCATTCCTGACACTGCTCTCCCATCAACCACCATATCCAAACGACTAGCTAAGTTTGTCCATGTCACCTCTAGAATGTTTCTCAATCAGGAAGTACATTTTTCTCCAGCCACTTTAGTCCAAGCCATAATAATTTCTTGTCTGGATCTCTGCAACAGTTTAGTTGTTTCCATTTTTGCACCCTCCAATCCATTCTCCAAGTAAGAGCTGGAGTAATCTTTTAAAAAGGTAAATCCTAAACATGTCACACTCTGCTTTTAAAAGCCTTCACTGGCTTCCCATTGTATTTAGAATTAAAAACTACACTCATTTAATACGGTCCATTTAATACAGGACCTACCTGATCTGGTTCCCAGGCCTCTTCCCCTCTTGTTTACTACACGGCAGTCAAACTGTTTATTCTCTAACACAATAAAAACGAGCTCAACAAAAATTTAATGAGTGTCTACTCTGTGCCAATCATTGTTCTAGGTGCTGGGAATTCAGCTTATATTTCAGTGGAGAAAGACAAGATGTTAAACAAGGAAATATAAAACAAGAAAATATACAAAAGAGATCATCTCAGCTGTTGAGGGCTTTTATAGTTGGGGAGGGAACAGGGAAGAAGGAAGGTTTAGTCAGTCAGAAAGGTCTCTCAGAAGTACCTTTTGAGATGAGACGTGAATAACAAGAAACCTGCCAAGAGAAGATCTGGGAAAAGTCCATCCACAAAAAGCAGTATTTTTCAAACTGCAGACCCTGCTCTACTTGTGGACCCATGAAATCAATTAGGTGGGGTGGAACCACAATTGAGAAAAATATATTAGAAGACATCACATGAAATAAAACTTTTGTTTCAGTTATACATGTGTTTATACATATGTGTATCGGTGCATACATACATAGGTATGATGCACACCTACCTACACGAGTCACAGTGTTAACTGTATTTCTTACTCTAGTGACCTCAAAAAAATCTGTGAAGGCCCTAAGGGCGGGAAAGAGCTTTGTGAGTTATAGGGGAAAGGTGGCCAGCATGGCTGAGCACTGAGGATGGTATGAAATGAGGTAGGAAGTGCATGTAACTTTCCTACATTTAACCTCCAACCAGCACCTCAAATCTGGACTGCCACCTCTAGTCTCATCATGGTTCATCAGCAAGAGACACTGTGGCAGGATGGTCTCTCTGCGTTAGTGTCACTGTGTACACGGTCACTAGGACAAGTCAGCAGTTACACTAATGTGACACTGAATTCTCTAAGCAAAGAATGTATTTCATTGTGAGAGTGTATTACTTAACTAAAAACTGAAAAATCAACCAAGTTCATACACCCTGGGGGAGCCATTTTCTGGTGCCTTTCAGATTTTCCTTACAATGAAAAACTTTCAGGTTAGTTGGTGGTATTTAATTTTGCAAATCTCTTGGCTATAAATCTAATAGGAAGTAGCACAGAGACCACCTAAGTCAAAGGTAGAGAAAAAAACGTCAAGAGCCTGGGACTGTAGGTCTGACTCTTCCATTAACCACCCCATTTCCTCCCAACTTCTTGAACCTCTCTGGCCCTCCGATTCCCTTTGAAAAAGGGGGTGGAGGCTGCAGGTGTTCGGGAAGGTCCCTTCATACTGTAAAATGTCACGGGGTTCTAAGTAACTTTAGAATTTTTTTTTTTTACTATTTTAAACGTTGCAAGAACTAACCTGGTGTTCGCTCACAATTCTTTTGGAAGAAAAGAGGAAGTTGCATGGCGTACCATGGAGGTAAACAATAAATCTATGTTTGTACTTAGACTGACCTGCACTTTGGAACTGTGTGGACTTCTTGCACCCCAAGAGATCAGTATCTTGAGAAAGGGCAAGAAAGTTTAAACCTCCAATCCCGCGCCCCTAGAGCTGGACACAACGGAAACGGCGAGTGAGTTGGCCACACAACTCACCTACGAGCTCTCCAACCATGAAGAGCAAGTAGAGAACGGCGGCAATGGCCAACCTGGTCTTCACCTTTCTCTGCTTCAGCAGCTCCCTGCGCCTGCTGCAGGTGTCGCACGGGTCCACCTTCAGGCTCAGCTGGCTGTTGGTCAAAGGCAGGTCCTGGTCCAGCAGGGAATCGTCGTCGGCCTGGAGCGCCGGGTGCGCTCCATTAACAGGCCTCTCCGGGGTTTCGGAACCATCGTCCGCCACCACCACTCGAAGTTTGTTAAACCGAGGAAGCCCCTCGTCCCCCGCCTCGTCCGAGAAGTCAAAGGCGCTGTTGTCATTTAGAAACAGCGGCGCGTCGTCCTTCCTCAGCAGAGATTTGAGGCGCTTCCACGCGCCGGATCCGGCCATGGCAGAGGCGGCGCGCCGCGCGCGGAACGGCTCGCGGCTGGCACGGCCGGCGGCCCCGACTTCACCGGTGCGCCCGCTCCCGATGGCGCCGCCGCGCGTCCCTCCCCATCCTGTGGGAAACGAAACACGGTAGCGATTAAAGGCGCCCCATCACAGCCCACAAGTTCCGAAGCCCGGGCGGCGGGGGGCGCAGGGCCAGCGCGGAGGCGCCGCGGCTCCGCGAGGGGGCGGCGCGTCGGTGTGGGGCGCCGCCGCGGGGCCGCCGCTCATCTCCCCGCCCCCGCTCGGCTCGGGGGCGCCCGGCTCGCGCGGCTCGGCCCGGAGCCGCGGGGGAGCGGGGCCGATCTCGCCTGCAGCGCCCGCAGCTCCAGGCCGGCTCCGCGGGTCTGACAGGTCCGCGGCCCGGCGCCCGCGGCCACCGCCTCTCCCCGCCCTTCACGGGCCCGCGCGCGTGCGCCGGAGCGGCCGCGGGCGAGGCGTGCGAGGGAGGGGTCGGCGCGGGGACACGCGGGCCGGCGCGCAGGGCTGCGGCGCCCGCTGGGGGCGGGCAGGGGCGCGCGCCGCGTCCCCGGGGTCCTCGCCGGGTCCTGGCTGTCCGACCCCGCGCGCCCGCCTCTGCGCGGGGGATGCGCACGGGCGAAGCCCCGGTCCCGCGCGGCCCTCCCGCTTCCCCTCGTTGTGAGACAGACGGCGGAACCCGGGTCCGCGACCCAGTGGGTCGGGCCGAACGGCCCCGCTGGGGCTGGGAATTCGCTCCGCGCACGGAGGGCCGCGGAAAAACCCAGGGTCGGGTCTCGGCTGGGGGTGCTCGGCAGGAAACCAGTTTCGCCCTTTTTCTAAGTGGGAAGTCAAGCAGCTTTTCTCTCCCGAGTTGCTGCCTCTCTGGCAAGTTGGCAACATTTGCTGCACAGTCAGGTCAACTCGGAGAGGGCAAGGTTTATATCTATGATCGTCAGCTGCTCTGTGCCTAATACATAGTTACTATTTTTTTTTTAATCAAATATGCGTTGTTCTCTTTGTGCTCACTCCACCTTCCTTTTGCCTCCAAGTAGTCATAATATGGACTAAACCCAAGCACAGAAAATCTAGTAGAAACATCTGTTCTGGTCCTTGGTTCTGCTTAACAAGAAGTTAAAATTCATTAAGTTCTGAGAAGAAGCTTCAAATTTAGATCTAAATTTTAGTGCAACGGGAATCCCTCCACCACCATCACGGCGAATCCCTGGATGGATTTTAGGAATTTGGGAGGTCTTAAACATAGGAGCAAAATTTTGTGACATATGTATTTTCCTGAGTAAGTCCCTTAGGCTTCATCATATTCTCAAATGGGGTTAAATCTCAAATAAGATTTAATACAGCAATAAAAAAACAAAAACACTGTCAGGAGAAATCTTAGCTCAAGCCTCTAGCTTCTACTTGGAGTTGAATTATAGTACAAACTCCTATTTATCCAGTGTTTATAAATGTTGTATTTTTGTTTGTTTATTCCCCCCCCCCCCATGGATTTTTAGAGAGAGTGGAAGGGAGGGGGAGAGAGAGAAACATCAATATGAGGGAGACACATCATGTGCCCTTGATGGGAATCGAACCCAGGATCCTTCACTCTACAGGCCAATGCTATATCCACTGAGTCGAACCGGCAAGGCTATAAATGTTGTATTTTAACAATAGTCTACATGGATCACCAAATTTAAAGTTACAAAAAATACAACAAAAAGTCATATGAAATATCATTTTCCTCTGAAGATTCAGATGACACGTTAGAATTTTGCGTCTCAGGTGCAAACTTTTGGATTCCAGAAGAGTCCCTCACTTTTGCAGGCCCACAGTCTTCTTCTAGAGCTGTAGCAATGGGAGTCAGGTTAGGAAACCTGGGTCAGAGAGCCCATGGTTCCCGAGACCCAGAATATTCAGTACTCGTGGCACTTAGGTCATTATCAGCAGAAGGCAGAGAGCTTACTGAAGGTTGCTTTCCTAACCCCAAATCTCTTAATCCACCCATTTGGGAGTAGGTTATTGGTTATTTTTAATTTGTTTATTGCACGGCCTGAAATTCTAATGATACAAACAAAGAAGCAAATATTCCAGGAGTGCGATAGCGCTCTCTTCAGTATAAATTCTTCAAATGAGATTCCTTATAAAGAAAGGGGGAGAGATGTTTTCTAGAAAAGTTGAGGCGAGAACATTTTTATTTTTATTTTTATTTTTGCTAGTGTTTTTTATTGCTTAAAGTATTACAAAGGGTATTACACATGTGTCCTTTTATTTTTTATTTTTTAGTATTTATAGTAAACTTTGTTGGGAAGTTTCTGCATTCCAATTTATTTTAACTATTTTGCATAACTGGGTACCTAAAGAGAGAGATGGGAGGGCAGCCCAAATCTCCATGGTGACTTTAGGATAGGTTCAAAAATTCTGTGATACGCTCCCCCTCAAGAGGTGAAGCTTACTTCCCCCTCCCATTGAGTGTGGATTGCTCTCAATGAATAGCTTATGGGTCATAATGAGCAGACTCTGGCAGGAGTGACAGTGTGTGACTTATAAGAATAGGTCACAAAAGGCATTGCAACTGCCTTCTTGTTCTCACTCTAAGATCACTTGTACTGCGGGAAGCTAGAGCTACCATGTCATGAAGACTCGGGCTTCCTGCCAACAGCCATGTGAGTGAGCAATGTTGGGAGCAGATCTCCCTAGTGAAGCCTTCAGATGACTGCAGTCTGGGTGATGTTGACTGAAACCTCACCCTGAGCAGAGCCTGAGCAGAACTACCCAGGTAAGCCACTCCACGATGACCCACAGAGTCTTTGAGATAACAGATATGTATTGTTTTAAAATGGTGAGCTTTGGGGTAATTGGTTACAGAGAAGTAGATAACTAATAGACTCCATGTCAACTTCCCTTTGTACCAGAAAAGATACTTTTCTTATTCTTTAATCACATGGACTCTTGTCCCTAGGCCTACCTTTGGGTTAGGGGAATGATTTTTTTTATCATTGAACTTTAAAATGGGCTAAATAAATAGACTTCTGTGAATAGTTTTAGAATGTAACCACTATTTCCAATCTTATTTCTATGTATTCAGAGCTTATGACAATAGGCAAATGTACTATTTTGAAATATAACTGTTCATAATCTGGGGACTGCCTGCAGTTCTGCCAGCTATTGCTCAGGACACCATTGTTTTCATCAGTGACTTCATATTCCTTTCTAGTATGAAGGATTTTTCCCATGGGAAAATGAAAAAAGTTGCCAGCCACTTAGCCCATCTCTTAATCAGGTAACCCATAATACAGAGATTATTTAGGTAATAACAGGGGCTTGTCAGTTAAATTGCAAGACACATACCTCGGGGCAATTAACTGCAATGAATACAAACTGTCCTATGTCAAAACCTGTTTTCTGGTCCAGATATCTTTTGGAACAAATGACAATGCTAAGAATTATACTATAGTTAGCATTTACTTAAGGCTTGTTTATGTGCCAGGAATTATGCAGGTGCCCTGACTTATATTAGCTCATTTAATCCTTACAACCTCAATATGAAGAAGGAAGTGATTCAAAGCATGGGTCTTGGAAACAGACTGCTTGTGTTTGAATCCTAGCTCCATCATTTACAGTCATACAATCTCTGGCAGACTGTTTAACCTCTTTGTGCTTCAATTTTCTTAGCTATTAACTGATAATAATAGCACCTACTTCACAGGGCCATGGTTAGGATTAAATAAAATAATGTATGTAAAGCATGTAAAACTTAGCATGTAAGTAGTCTGGGCTCAGTCAATGCCAGCTATTACTATTTTTTAAGTAGATGAAGACACAGTGTCCTAGGGAGGTTAAGGAACTTGGCCAGTGTTGTGCAGCTAGCAAACAGCAGAAACTCAATTCCAGATCAGTTTGGCTTCAGAACACCGGCTCTTAAATTAACCATTACTCCATAACCTCCATACTGATTTCCACAGTGGCTGCACCAGTGTGCATTCCCACCAACAGTGCACAAAGGTTCCCTTTTCCCCACATCCTTACCAACATTTGTTGTATGTTGATTTATTGATGATAGCCATTCTGACAGGTGTGAGGTGATATCTTATTGTGGTTTTAATTTGCACTTCTTTGTTGTTTAGTGATGTTGAACATCTTTTCATGTCTATTAGCCATCTGTGTGTCCTCTTTGGAGAAGTGTCTATTCAGGTCCTTTGCCCGTTTTTTTAAAACTTTGATTTGATAATGAAGAATCTTAAGGTGTTTTTTTGTTTGTTGGTTGGTTTTAATAATTTTTATTGGTGTTTAGAGAGACAGGAAGGAAGAGGGAAAGAGAAACATGGATGTGAAAGCCTAACATTGATCAGCTGCCTCCTGCATGCCCCCTACTGGGGATTGAGCTGAAATCTAGCCATGCGCCTTGACCATTGAACCAGCAACCTTTCACTTAATTAACTGAGCCACATGGGCCAAGACTGCCCATTTTTTAAATTGCATTGTTGGCTTTTTTGTGTTGAATTGTATGAGTTCTTTATAAATTTTGGATATGAACCTCTTATAGGAAGTATTATTGGCTAATATCTTCTTCCATTCAGTAGGTTGTCTTTTCATTGTGTTGATGGTTTCCGTTGATGTGTAAAAACTTTTTAGTTTGATGTAGTTCCATTTGTTTATTTTTTCTTTTGTTTCCCTTGCCCAAGAAGATATATCAGAAAAAAATATTGCTAAGAGAGATGTCAGAGGTTTTACTGTCTATGCTTTCTTCTAGAAGTTTTATGGTTTTGAGCTTTACAATGAAATCTTTAATCCATTTTGAGTTTATTCTTGTATATGGTGTAAGAAAGTGGTCTAGTTTCATTTTTTCACATTTATCTGTCCAATTTTCTCAACGCCATTTATTAACTAGACTGTCTTTACCCCATTGTATGTTCTTTGCCTTCAGCGATTCCATTTCTGGGTGTATATTAGAAGAAACCCAAAACACTAATTTGAAATAATATGTGCATCCTTATGTTCATTGCAGTGTATTTACAACAGCTAATATCTGGAAGCAATTCAAGTGCCCATCAATAGATGAGTGGATTAAAAAAAAGCTGTGAGATATATATATATAATGGAATACTACTCTGTCATAAAAAAGAGTGAAATCTTACCACTTGCAACAGCATGGGTGGTCCTAGAGAGTATTATGCCAAGTGAAATAAGTCAGTCAGAGAAAGACAAATACTATATGATTTCACTTATATGTGGAACCTAAAGAAAAAAATAAACGAACAAGATTGAAACAAACTCATAGATACAGAGAACAGACGAATGGTTGCCAGAGGGGAGAAGGGTTAATTCTAGAGCCACTCCCCTATGGCACCCATCATGCCCCACATCTAGAGGAGCCCATTTGAAATACCCAGGGGGAACACTTTGTAAAGTATATAATTGCCTAACCACTATGT